GAAATTTTTGTTAAGTGTACGAAGACTTTTGTGGCGTAATTTTTTAGTACCTTTTTGATTATTAATTTTTAAAAATAATAGTTATACTATTTTTAAAAAATTGATTACGTCATTTCATTAAGAATAAGCTGTGGTTATCATAAGAAAATTACGATTCCGATATATTAATTTTTCAATTCCTACTATTAATTCACGCTCTCTATTTATTTATTTATTTATCTTTGTGGAATTTTCAATCATTAATAAAATACATTTTCAAGCTCTCAATTGAGCAGAAATTTTATATACATGATTATTTTGGATGACAATACAGTAGTTTAATTATAATTAATAAAAATTTCAATTGATTAAAACTAATTATTTAAAGAATTACAAATACAGCCACGTTGGCGACTTATCGACCCTTTTGGTGACTTGTGTCAAAACGAAAAGGTTTTTTTCTCACGTTTTAAAGCATTCAGTTGAACTGAAATTTTATATACACGATTGTTTTGGATGGAAATACGATACTTTAATGATAATTATTAAAAATTAATTACCACTTAATGTTGTGATTCTGTCATATGTATATACAAATATATATATTTATTGTAACTATTTAATAAAATCTAGCTAAAATAAAATTTCTCTCTCTTTGTTGATCTAAGTAGGAATTGACTTAAAGAATTTTTTTTATATTACTTGTTATTAGTCGAAAACATTAAATTTTATTGGAAATTGAAAGTGTACGAACACTTTTGTTATTCACTGTATTTTTCGAGGTGTACAAGATTACAGTAGTTTGTCAAGACAAAGTTAAGGGTTCAAAATTATGGAAATATAATATATTATAAAAGTGTGACAAATTACTTCTTAGAAATATATGAAAATTTTGAAATAATTTGTACACTGGAAGCTAAAACTTACTGAAAATTAATCTATTTAAGTTCCATAACTCAAGCTGCTTTATACCGATAAAAGTATTTCCAAACTTTGATTTATGAAATAAAATAAGTTGTAACCCATCGATTTAATTTGCTTAAGCTTGGTTAAATAATTTATATTAGCTACTATAGTCATCCAGCTTAAATCTTAAAGAGAGAAAGAGAGAGATGGGGGATAGGAAATTGATAAATTAAAATGAAGACATTGTTTATTATTTTTTTTTATCATAGATCTTTTCATCAAAGTTAAACTTAACTTTGTTTACTAAACAAATTTACATGACTGTAAATTATCTTCCATAAACTCAATCCATGGGCTTACTTTCCATCAGTCACATAAATAAATGTCAAAGGAAGAAAAATGAACAACGCAGATCAAATGTGGGTCTAAATCGCAGTTTATCAAAATCATCCGTTCATTCATCAAGGACTCTGAGGAAATCTTTATAAATTTGCATTTTTTTCTCGGTTTGTGGAATTTAAACAAAATTTCTCACCCATTCTAAAGTGTATAAAACGTTTTGTTGCAAGAAATTCCCATTTCGTTCACTCTTTATTTTTTAAAAAAATTTAAGAATTGCGAACAAATAATAACTAAATAAACGCCGATATAACTAATACTTTTATATGATTTTTCATTTATATCATACGAAATAGAACTGTTAGGAAATTTTTCTAGTTTTAAAGAAAAAAAGAATATTTAATTTTTATTAGTTAGGGTGAGTAAGTGAATATTAACGTCGCTCTATTCAACCACACAAGGGTTTTTGGGACGGACTTCATAATTTCGAACCATGGTTAAGTGACAAGGACGACACCTTAGCCAGCACCTCCCTCTCCTAACTTCCACATCCCACCAACGGGAGGACGTTTGAGGCTCGACATATTTAATGTGCATTCGCCTCTTCTGCACGGCAGGTTTTTCAGTGGTTCTCGGATCGAACTCATGACACGAAGGTTATATTTTTTAAGGTTATATTTATCATAGTAATTAAGTATGAAAAACTAATAATTTTTAAATACTGATACTAATTCATTTAAATTTAAACTACTAATCCATTTCGTTATATTTAATTTTTATATAAAAAAGCACATTTACTTCAATTACTTAAGAGAGAGAGAGAGTAAAAAAATCCTTTAATATTTTCCTTACTTGAAGCATGGTTACTGAATAACTAACTGTATTTTTTACTAAAGTTTATTTCATTTGAATTCCCTTGATTTCAATAACATCTATAATCCAACTCAAAATTAAAATTAAAAACAAATAATTAGAACATCAATATTTCAATGAAACGATTTTTTAAAGTATGTTGTGCGTTAGCAACACAAAAGAAAATAATACTCACCGATTTTGCAAGATTCATTCATTTGTTAATATAAAAAAAATAATAAGAGGAATTAACTCAAAAATAGAGTTAATATCACTTAATTACATTTAAATAACACTTTTGAACAAAGTAATCCACTAACTCCTGTTGCTTTAAGGCCAGTAAACAAAACATAACTTACGACAAGCTTTCTACTGTACATTCATTTAAATAATACGCAAAAAATCCCCAGAAAGAGTTAAAACCCAAGAAGGCCCTGAGAAAAAGAAAAGCAAATAAACGCTGGCAGCGGTAGTTTATGCAGCCTTCTGGCATCATTCTAGTAAAAACGATTCTTTTAATAACCGGTCCGTATTTTCAATAAACCGTTTTTCAAATGTTTATTTTTAACTGTCGCTTACTTGTCAGAGAGTAACAGCAATTGCATCCTCAAAATGAGACAGACCTGACGAACTGTCATGCAAAATAAATGTTCCTAAGAGCTGCTCTGGTGTCAAGTGTTTCGTGATTTTAGCCCGATCAAGGGAAGAAGAAAATAACTCTAAATAAATCAGCCGAAAAACAAACCAACGTGTCAACAGTCTGGGGGGAAAAAAAGACGGAATCGTGTCAGGTAAATAACTATGATTATCATTTTTCAGCTGCTTTGGCAACTGGCGTGTAAACGTCAATAAATGTTTATTTAGAAATGTTTATCAGCTCCCACATGGGCATTAAGTTTATGACCATGGAAATGATTTTCTCCAGACACTGCTATTCCTGAAGGAATAAAAAAGGATTTAATAAGTTCAGAATAATTATACCTCTTTTTAATTTTTATAGCCTAAATTCGCAAGCACTTATATTTATCTAGTTAATGTCTGCCTTTTCTTCAACAATGAGACAATTTATAAAAAAAAAGAAACGGAAGGAAACAGCGGTAGCACATATTGAAATTAAGAGAGAAATGTAAAAGAATATAACTTAGTATATAACCTATACATAATAACTCATTATTATTATGTAAAAAGGAAGTATAAGAGGGAAGTTCAAATTATTTCTTTATTTTCAATAAATCATAAATGTTGATATTATCTATAAAAACTAAACAGGGATGGCTAATATAAATAATTTTATAAGAGCTAAAAATATTTAAAACTATTTAAATTTCTCATGCTGTTAATGCCTGCACAATTATAATTTTGCATAGGTTTTTGAACATTAAAATAATTTGAAAAGAAATTAGAAGTATAAGTTTTCGTTGGAAATTTTAGTAGATAACATAACCGGAAGTAAACAAAAGAATACGTAAAAATAAAAATAATATTTTTATTAATTTTTACAAAAGTTCACAATAAATTTATATTTTTAAAATTACATTATACTCACGTAAAAGTTTCCCAGTTTCGGAGACTATGTTTTTAATTTTTATTTTATATTATAAATTCTAGTGATATTTCTTTGGGAAATTTATATGTGGCCAGAGATCAGATTGTAACAGCAAGAAAAAAAAAAAAAAAAAAGATTTCTTTTTATTTAGACAAATTATGAGCGCATTGCCATCTTGAGAAATATAACAGAAATAAGTATGTACCTGAAGCAAATAGAAAACAATTAAGTGTAAAAAAAAGGAAATGATATATCGAGTTGCAACTAAAATTTATCTAAAGTCTAGACTCAGCATACCTCCCTCAGTGTCATCTATTGAGAGGAAGTGCCAATTATCTTCTTTTATTGGTTTAGTTAATGCCATTGCCCAAATTCATTGTCAAGTATGTAAGCCCAAAATCAGTTTACTTTGTAACAGTAACCAAGAAGAGAGACAGAAACTTCGAAAATTTTTCCGTGGGCGTAGTAGCCGAGTGTTTATGGTCCGCGTGTCATAGCCTGCGGGTCATGAACTCGAGTCCTGGTGCCAATGAAGAGTCACCGTGTAGAGGGGCTGATGCATATTAAATCTATTTTAGTTCAAAGTAGTTAGGTAGTGTGAAGGTTTTGAAAGAGAGGTGTCAGCTCAGGTATTGTCCTCATCCCTTGACGGAGGTTCAAAACTACGAAATCCGTTTCCGAAAGTCATTGCGTTGTTGTACAGTATGACATGGCAACAGTTTAATGAAAAGAATGAAAATCGAACCGAATATTTTTTCAAGCATGGTAAATTTCTAATTGAACCCGAAGCAGTTGAAGGGTACCTAGCCCCCAAAAATCACAAATTAAATTCACTTTTATTCATCTCATATATTTTGATTGATTTTCCCACTCAATTTATTTATAATAAAATATTACTAATCTTTCAGAAACAGAAATGCAGACGAACTGATTTGTACATGATCCTCCCTTACAAACATTCTAACTCTTTAACATAGTCGGTCACTCGAATCCTGCTCTTAACGGAAAACTGGATATTAAATGTATTGTGTAATATGCGAATTGCTGACTAATATAGCCATAACCTTTATACTATTAACAAGTAGGAAATATAAAAAAAATTAAGTCAATTCCTATTTTAGTCAACAAAGAAACATTTATTTTAGTTATTTTTTATTAAATAGTTTCAATTAATATAAAAATATGTATATACATATGACAGAATCACAATATTAACTGGCAAAATAGAAAGTGGTTTTCCTTGCAATTTTCCATTTTTCTTTCTGTATAGGGTGTTGGACTATTTTTTTTGATTTGTTACTATTTACTCATTCATTAAATTTAATTATTATAATAAAATAGTACAGTAAAAAAGAAATCACATTCTCATAAATTAGGCCTTTTCAGGTGGGATTCGAACCCACGACCTCTGGATTAAAAACCCAACGCAGTATCCATTGCGCGACAGGGACACAATGAATGATTTTTATTTCTACATATGCTGTTGGACTATTATTTTTGTTTGTTACTATTTATTCATTTTTTAATTTAATTAATAAATTAATATTATAAAAAATGTTATTAACATCAAGTGTCATCCACTACAGGTTTAAAAAATGTATTTGAATAGATAAATAGAAATTATTTTACTAACGATTAAAAATTTGAACGATATATATATATAGGGAGAGTATGAATTAATAGTACGAGTTGAAAAATTAACTTTTCCACTCACTACTTGTGAATTCCCTTTATAAGATCAATAATCACGTTTCTTTTATAAGGAAGTGCCTCGCACGCTATTGAGACTTGTAGCAATATCAAAGTTATTTTCACTCCATGTTAATTTCAGGAAATAAACATTGCGAGATAACTCTTAAGAAAATTCTTAAACTACCAATTTACTCAACTTTTAGATATTACTTTAATTTCACTTGAAAGAAAATGAATCGGAAACTAAACTGAATGATATAATTCTACAAACACAGGGAAAAAATTATTTTTCAAACATAAATTGATTATTATAATGTTTAGACTGTTAATGAATCTTATAATGCTTTAAAATTAATAGCTTTTAAATTAATTTACTCAAAATGCTTTCCATTTCGGTGTAATTTAAAGAAACATTTAAGCATGTTCTTATACTTAATTTTGGAAAATATTATATCTCTCTTTTTTTATCACTAGAGCTAAACGTAGAGTGAAATTTCGTAACTCATGACTGTTCCCTAAATGTCAAAAAAGTTTTGAAAGCTGTGTGAATAATCCATTAAAAGCCTGAATACACATTTATCTTTTAAGACATCCTTCGCCTAATGTCAAAGAGCCCGATTCAAACACGTGACACATTTTCATACAATAAAAAAAAATTCCCAGTATTTTTACAAAATCTAATGTTGTAACGTAAAATTCAGTTTGTAACACGTCTTTAAAATTAGGAAACAGTCTTTAAATAAGCCTTTTTTATTTTAATGAAAGAATATAAAACGTATTTATCATTACAATTTAAGACATGTAATATAAAACATGGTTTATAACAAAAAGAAAAAAAAAAAGATTAATTCAGTTGGGAATGGGTAGTGTAACAATACAGCTTTTTCAATAGTATAGCAAAGCATGAATAATATTACTGATGAAGGCTTTTTCTATCGTCCCAAGTTTTCCAATTACGATTTCTATCTTCTAACGTTTCGCAAAAACAGAGATTATTTTGTGAGCTATGGGTAATGCTAAATATCTTAATACTAGGGTGACAAAATACTTCTCGAAATAATCTTACCTTCAATAAAAATATATAATTTTAACCGAATAATAATATTTTGTGTTTTAATATTAAATAATTCATATAATGTCTTAATACAGGTATTAATATAGAGATAATAAATATATTTTTTAAAAAACTGTGCTTAGGTACTGTACGGACATAAATGTCTCGATTAATAGATTAACAAGATATAAGTCTCGTAAGAACACTTCAACAGGTTATATTTCTATTATAATTATATTAAATTATAGGCCTTTAACAAAGTTTAGATAAAGTAGTAAGGCACAAAAAATTTTTAAGAGCATCGTGTAAAAAAATTAATTTAATAAAAGTTAAGTTTATTTAATAAAAAAATGCTATTGCTGAATCATTATTATTTAATAAAGGGTAAGTGTAGTAAATAATAAAAAAGAAGTGTAAGGAATATATAAATTTACAAACAACTCAGTATGATACGTACAACTGGAATTATAATTTTAATTTACAGTAAGAGAAACTGAATAAAAATCTGATCTGAGAAAGAAATAAGATACTAAAATAACACTAATAGTTTAAAAAAAAAACTCGGGCAGACTAAAGCTAAGGAAATTAAGCGCATTTAAAAATCTCATAATAATACTCGTAATACTTTTTACTTCCGTCGCCATTAATATTCGTGTTGCTTTATGTAGAGCGACGTTAATAAACACTGTCTCACTCTTCCTAATTTTATTGTTGAAAAAACCATTCAATCAATACATT